CTAATGCTGGGGAAATGCAATATAGTCTTTAATGCACAGCAAAGAAAATATCTGTCTTCTAAAATGAGAAACTGGAAAGATCATAAGATGTGATTATGCATCTTGATACCAGTAACTTAAATCACCAAATGACAGCAGAGTGAAGAATGTCTGCTTAAGAAGAGGAAAGCAAAAAGGTAGCCTGTTTTGAACTTCTTACTGCTTTTGATGTCCTCCTTACTCCATCTTACTTTGGAGGCAGCTTCTGCGGGAATTAAGTGCACAAGATGAGTTCTGAGGCCAGAGATAGAGGTTGTGTACCTCAAATCATGCCTGTTTTTCTTTTCTACACCCCTGCGTCTCTAAAACGTATCCACTGGTATAATAAAAGACATTATCCCCTCATATACACATATCATTCATATCTTTAAACAGTCACAGCTGTAACATCACAAAGAAGGAGCTGTCTGCTAAGGATCATTGGGTTGGTTTAGGACAATAATAAGAGGCCTGAACAAACTCTGAAATCCAATTCCAATAATAAATAGTATCTGAAAAACTAATCAGTCAAAGAACAATGGAGATTTTACAGCCTTTTTTATTTTACAGAACACTGTAGGATAAAAAAGATTAAACTCCATTATGAAAGCTCCAAAATCCTGAGTCAAAATTCTAGCCTCAGTCCAACAGCAACTGAATTAACAGTAGGAATCCCTTTGAAGTAAATAACATTTGGTTCTTGGATTTTAACCCCAATCTGGATTGATTTATTAACTGTAAATAACGATCAAATCCTATCTGCCAAAAAAAACATTCTTTTCCTCCATCCTTCTTGGTATATTTTGTCAGTACCTTTGCGAAGAAGAACTCCAAATGTGTTTATCAACACTTACAGAACAAAATTTGGCACTATTAGGAAACCCCGTCTGTTGGAAATTCTTTTTTTAATCTCAGTGAAAATATCATTTCTGAACACAACTCATCAGACAGCAGAGTTGTGCAGGGTACAGACACATACAGAATATATCATGCAGCCTAAATGTGCATTACTTGCAGGCATGAAATGATTGCTGTTTGTTAGAGCAAGTACAGTCCTCACAGATATTGCTACTCCTTTTATCACTTTGTTGTATTCAACTCCTACCTTTTCTCAAATTCCTCAAAAGTAAATTTTCCAGGATAGAGATCATCTTTTCTAGCATGGCTAGTGTCTGGAACAGTGACAGTCAACTACTTGAGCAGAATTTCTGGTTATGGCCCCCAAAAGAGAAACAATAATTCTTTTCACCTCCAGTATTGGTATACTGGCATATTTTTATAATTTATCACACGTACAAGCATTTCTTTATTTCCCCCAAATCTCAAAGGAATCACTGTTGCTACTAACACGTTTAAAGGCATTCCAGCTCAGAAGTCATCATGCACCTGAAGCACTGTCTGTTTAAAATGCAATTTGGAGATGACATTTGTTCATCCAATTTCCGGTTCCACAGAGGAAGAATTTAGCAAGATTGTAGCTGGTGTTGCAAGGGCCACAGCTGAAGCGAACAGGAAACAAACCCTGCCCAATAAAGAGCACTATCCAGAAATAGAGAGCAGCCTGTGACATGTATATAATTAGAGAAATTGGTTGCTTTGCCCATGAGACCGTGTGTTCCACAGCAAACCCGATTTCCTTCGTTCTCCCTCTCATGAATATTGTAAGTGCAATCATTGCATGATTATAGTCCTTCCATATAACACATCAGTTTCAAACTTTTTGTTTTTTTCCAACATCGGTGTTAATTGAATTCACTAAACAAATGACAAAAATATCCACAGCTTAGGTCTTATCAGGCCAATTGACCTGCAAGTCAGAAACCTTAAAAGGAGACCAAAAGACCAAATTCTACATCTCTCAGGTATCTTACATGATGGTTCTTTTTTTCCCCATAAATACAAGCCATTAGCTGTTTCTTCTTGTTTTTTTCCTTGCTAGAAAGGTATAAAATAAAACCAACAACATAAAATATCTGATGTAGAAGTCCAAGTCGTCAGAAGAAGAATTTACCAACTTACTGGTTCTATTGTAACTCAAGGAAGTCAACATAAAAAAAACGAGTTTATCACAAAATTCTAAAAATAATTCTGAAAAGGTTAGGACTCTCACTGCTATGCTTCAGAACTTAGCTCTATTACCTGCCCTTATTACTGAAGCACAACAGTAACCTAAGACAAACATAACAGGAGGAAGGAAGCAATCATTCTGAAAAAGACTTATGTATGACAGTGAACAACAAATTAGGCTTGAGTTTCCATAGTGATACAGCAACAAAAGGCTGCTGCAGTTTTCAGCTGCCTACACTGACAGCAAAGGGACTGGAGTCCCTTCTCTGAAAACTGGGATGTTAGTGTACTCAGCACTGTCCATTCAATTTTACTTCCACATTATAAAGAAAATATTGAAGAAACTGGAAGAGGAATAATAATAATAAAACCAAGAAGTTCTGCAAGAAGCAAAACTACTAAGTGCTATGAATTTAGATTTCATGGCTGGGTTCTCTGGCGCCTTAAAAATGCAAATTCCAGTGAGTACTTTCTGCTACATGTCTCCTTTGTGGATTCCCTGATGTTTAATACAAGAAATGATCTGATACTATAGCCTTTCTGCAGGTGGGAACATAGATGGACCTCTTGCCGATCTGGTAGCCTGCTTTCCTGCAACTCACAGGAATTCCTGTCCTGTGGTATTGAAGCTGCCCAAGAGTTAGGAAGCTATTGAGGGAGAAAGAAGAAGAGAAAGATTAGCAGCTGCACAAAAGTCTAATCTAGCAAGCAGGTAGTGTGACCCCATAAGCTTTGTTTTCCTGGGAAACTAGGCTAATTATCAAAGGGCTGGAAAGATTCACTTATGGTCAAAGTCCAAAGGTCCCAAAGTGGAAAAATACTTAAAGTGCTCTATTGGATAGAGGGCTGAAAGAACCAAACATGATAGCTAGGTTGAGACACAAATGATGAGGAATGTTATAATTTACAGAAATATAAATGTTAGCCAGGGATGATGAGGATTTATTTGTTCCAAGAGGAGCTATTACTAAGCAGAAGTGCAACTGAGAATAGGGGGATTAAATAAAGGAAAGCTTTAGGCTAAAAATCGAGTGCCACTGTAAGTGAGATGACTCTGTAGAACAGTTTTGAGACACAAGAAGTGGAATCTCAATGGCTTAAGAAAATTAGAACTGGGATATAAAAAACCAGTTCTTTACCAAACAATAACGCATGGACAGTGAGATTGACAGGAACGTGTAATAGGTCTTTTTAATTTATCACTAGATTAATAACACAAAATACTGCACTAAACATATGGTAAAAACTGGACTACTGTCCCATAGTAGAACTGACATCTAAATCAGAAATGCATACAGTACAATTATGTCTTCCTAGTAATTGTACAACTTTTTTTTTTTACGCTGTGTCTTCTTTGTTCACTTTTTAGTCCATTTGTCCACTGCTGGGTGTCAATGCTTGAGCTAATTCAACAAGAGAAAAACAGAATGGGTGATTTCTAATTCGGGTAATGAAAGGTTTCTTATTTTCTTGTGATACTCATGAAATACATTTCTTTGTCAGTAAAGGCCTTAGTGTGAAATGTCAAGCAAAACTGAAGACATTCTTATAAGAAGAAAATCTTCAACCTATTTTCAAGTCCAAGTAAACAAAGTTGTTTAAGAATCTGAAGTTGAAGGAAAAGAAATAAGAAGGAAACAATACAGAGAACACATTAAACTAATAAAAGTAGCTACTTCTTTTGAGTCCTCAACGGCTGAAACCAGATCTAGGATACAGAAATGCATCGATCTGCCCTCCTCCCACATCACCTATATGATAAGTGAAAAATATGTTTTACAGGTAATTTATATGGAGTTATTAAAATATCTACTTTTACACATAAAGTGACCACAGTGTATTAGTTCAACATTTTTAAGCAATACTGAATGGCATGAGTTTCCTTGTTATTATTTTCTAGTAAAAGATAAAAGAAAATAATCAAAATGCACAAACCAGATTACACAGTATGTTTGATGTAGCAATTTCTAACATTCATTTAATATAGCTGAGCTGCAATGACTAACGCTGCCCATGTCCACCAGTACAAAGACCTAAAAAAGGTTCCAGACTAGATTACATTCGTGCAGGTCTCATTTTAACGGAAATTGGAGAGATGAAAAAATGATTATAGGAACACACATTATAAAAGCAGACCTCACAAGTCAAACTTAATAGTGAAACCATTTTCTTTCATGTAGACAACCATGAAAACAAATATCCTGTAAGCACTAGATATATATTGTATCTCTCTACCAGATCTCTTTGCCTCCTTGAGACAGATTCCCATTCATCTCATGACTATATAATTTGATCATAGTTGAGTAAGGCACAGCAGGGGAAAGGGTCTGTCTGATAAAGTATCAGGCTCCAGGAAGATAGATAAACAATTTCATGATTTCTAGTTGTAACAGGAATGGTACAGTGGTGGATATTAAGATATTAGGCTCACAGGAATACAAATACCAACCTTCTTCAGTTTTTTCTCTTACTAAATATGTTCTTCTTCCATTAAGTGAAAAAGACAGTCTGCTTATGATAAACTGAGACAGAACACCAGAATAAAATGGAATGTACGTGTGAGAAGTGGAATTAAATCCTTTTTGGTTTGTCAATGTGAAAGTTATTACATAATTTCTGGCTTAGTTTACAATAAGTGAACAAACAGAGCAAGGAATTCTCTTTCTCATGGGGTATTTTCACTGAAAAGAATCATTATTTAAAAGTAGGTGAAATGGATGCCTCTAAAGTTGTTTCACATTTAAACCTCCTCTTTCACAAAGGACACACTGGCAGGCAACTCCTTCTCTATTACAAGTCACTAGAGGCTGCCTGCTTGCAATGCTACCTCATTGTTCTACATGTATTAAATGAAGGCTTGAGTGATAGTATTTGAACAGCTAAGATGAACTTCTTTTTCATATATTAACACAACCTGCTTTTAATTTCAAAAATTCAAAGGAGAAATATATATTTTACAGCAAATGTTTAGTTACAAACCCCAGATCTCATCTTCTTTGTTTAATGAAATATATTCTGGAATAAGCAATCTTTAAAGCTATCATACTACGTAATTTAGTATCACTTACCTGTGATTCTTTTACATTTTCAACAGTGAAGTTGAACCAAACTCGAAAGCGTGGGTTACAGGTATCTGGTCTAATGAACAGGTCATACTCAAACTCTGTGATGTGATCCACCCGTCCAAGGTTACCTACCAAGAATATATGAAAAGAATGCATTTCACTGTACGGCTGATAAACTCTCCAGAAACTGCCCTCAGAAAAGTTTTTAAAACCTCTACCTCTGTTGGCTAAAATATATAAGTTTAATAACCCTTAAAACAGTAGAGAATTATTTCTAAAAGGCTTAATCATAGTCACAAAACAAAGTACATAGCAGTAAGCTACATGACTATAGATATACCGAAAAGAAGACGAGTCAAAAGCTGTCTCAATACTCTCTTATTACCACTTGCAGCCACTATCACCTCCATCCAAAGAGACAGAACTGTTACGATTTCACCTCAGCTTTTTTCTGGTGAATTTCATGGAATAATATTTTTAAATATAGTCAGAGCTACATTGTCCCCTATGGCATTATTCAGCAAGCAACCACACTGGCTATAGAAATTAAGTTCAGCACTGGGAAAACTTGCTAAGTGCTTTTAAACTGCTAAATTGGCATTTTTCCTTTGAAGTGTGCCAAGATTTTTAAAGGCAGGGTTTAGACTGTCCATTTCATTTATACACTACAAAAATCTGACTTCATATTTCCTGATCCAGTCCAAGCCCCATCTCATCCAGTCTTGTTAGACAGGGCCATGCTCTAGCTCACAGGCTAAATTATACTTCTTTTTAAAAATAACATTGTAAGATGAGCTGGTTTTATGGTTTCAAATATATTTTGGGGGGTTGCATTTTTATATTAGATATATACTGTTGGGTTCAAATAGTTATTTATAACACTATTTGAGCTAAACAATTCCCTCCTCAGCAAGTCCTATTTCAGTCAAGGAGACTGTTCATTGGTAATAAGCTACTCAGTATGAACACATGTAGCAAAATTTGGCTGTTCCGTGGAAGAAAAGAAGCAAGAAAAAACATGTTTCAACTCTCTTCACCAATATATTTGCAGAATTTCCTCCTTATCCTAAATTGTTTCTGGCTTCACTAATTGAACATTTTTAATCTTCTCTATTTTTAATGTTATCCTCTAGTTTCCTATCCACGTTCTTCTTTACAGAAGAAAATTCTCTTCGCTGATTCCCCTTGCAGAAAACCACTTCATGCTAACAATCTGTTCCTAAACGCTTGACTGAAGGATACATTTGGCATACGAAATATTTGGGGGGGAGGAAAAAAAAAAACAAACACAGAAACATACCAAAAAAAAAATGAAAAAACACCAGCTGGAATACCTTTGTGCAGCTGGAATACCTTTGCCAAATATAAATGATGTCATCTGCTGTACCGAGCACCCCTGCCCGGGTGCCGGGGCGGCAGCGGCAGGGCCAAGCTCTGAGGGGAGGCCGAGGCCAGTCCCAGACTGGTCACGGCCGGTTCCCACCGGCCCCACAACGGCCCCTGCTCGGGGCACAGCCCTGCCCCGCAGCCAAGGTGGCAACACCGTGGAAGTGCCTTTAAGGAAGGGCAAATACAGCATGCAGACACTGCTGGGGAGGAGTCCGGGGTTCCAAGGGGAACCAACACTCGAAGAGGACGAGGGGGAGGAGGGAAGGGAGTGGTGCGCCAGGCGTCAAGGCAGGCTCCCCGTGTCCTGTGGGGAGAGGCTGGAGCAGGTGCATATTCCCTGAAGGACCAGTGGCCTATGGAGAACCTGCACCTGTTCCTGCTCTCCCCACAGGAAGGGCCCAGTCCAGGGCAGAAAACAGCGAGCAGCAGAGAAGCTCCATGGACCAAACGCAGCCCCCCAGCCCTTGCTCTGAGGGGGAACAAAGTTAATCCTGGGAAACAGGGAACAGTGTGGGGAAAGTGTTCTTTTAATTTCTCTTTGGTTCTTACTATCTAAACCTATTTTAATTGGTAATAAATTAGATTTTCCCCAGCTGATTCTGTTTTGCCCATGATGGCAACTGGTGAGCAAACTCCTTGTCTTTAGCTCAACCCATGAGCTTTTTCATCTTATTTTCTCCCCTCCAGTCCTGTTGAGGAGGGCAAGTAAGAGAGCGATTGGGTGGGCACTTAGCAGTTGGCCAAGGTCAACCCAGCACATCTGCCTGGCTTTAGGTAAAGTCCCTTACACATCTAAGTGCACTTCCTGCCACAGGGGTCAAACCCATCACTGTCATTCACAGCAACAGAACTCAAATCTTAACATATACTCACAATTATCTCCTATAGATTATTATCCAAGGTAAATAAGAATGATAAAAATCAAGCTATTGCATTACAATACCTTTAGATAAAAGACTTTTTTTTTTTACTGTATTTTTCATTAAATCTCATGCACATGACAACAGTATTGGGAGAGTAATATTACTTATATGTTTCAAAATTTAGGTGGCCCAAGCTGTTCAAAAGAATAGGATGGATTCCAGTTGCCTCTCAGGCCACCGTTTAAGTTCTCTCAGGACAAAACTTAATGCAGGAACATCCAGAGTCACTTCAGCCTGAGATGTGCATGTGATGCTGGTGGATCCTCAAAGACTAAGCCAGCAGGCTGGATGAGCACAGACTGTGGATTAGGTCCAGCTTGTAAACTACTAGGTGCACGTGCCTCCCAATGAACCCAGCAATTCCAGATATGGATTAAGTTATCTGTCAGCTCAGACCAGAAGTGCAAGTTGTGACTGAATTACTTCCAAATAAGGATACAGAAGCAATTAAATTTATATTTTAAGTTGAAAGATCATTAAAAAGTTGTACTGCAATGCACAGGACAATAAAATATTAAGTGAATAAATAAAAACAGAGCAAAATAAGACCTTGGTTTCTGACCTATTGCACATTTCAGCTTCTTTTTCAACTTCAAACTGAACCGAACCCTATCAGGGACAGATGGCCCACTCAGAGCTATTTTACAGAGTCCATAGGATCCCTAAACTAGCACTGGAGAATTGTACCGATGTCAGCAAAATCACTGATGGTGAAGAGCCGGTATGCTGGAACTACTCCAAGCCAATCTGCTCTGGAAAAACTATATACCTCTCTCAAACCCAGCAGAACCCTTAAAAATTTAAACATTATGTGCATGAGTCCCTGGGACTCCCAACACTGTTTTCTCCCTCAATCTGTAATACTTGATTTGAATACTCACCTCCCTCTTAATGTAGTATTTTTTTCCTTTCATGAATTCTCACTTCATTCATTTTTGCCTACAGAACTGCCTCTGACGAGGCTCCTTCACAGTACACATCAGCTGCCACAGTCACCTGCAGCCATTTGCAGTGTAGTATCATTAGTACTTTTCATTAGCACGCTAGTTCTTCTCTGTCTTCCAGATGCTAAATAGGCTGGACCTAACACTAATGCCTTCGGTAACCAATTCAACAAGTTCCTTGTGCTCAATAGACTATTGTTGGTAATACCACAGCCTTTGCTCACAATCTGTCAGCCTAATTTCAACCCACATAGCAATGCCATGAAAAAAAAAAAAAAAAAGACAGCAGTTTTGGTACAAAGAAGCCCAGAACTGTAAGAACAAAACAGTTCCTAGCTTTAACAGATCCTTTGTAGAAAGCTGATAATGCTGCTGGAAAAAAATTATTTTATTTGGTGTCCAAGAAAGGATATAAACTTTCAACATTAATCTCATAAACAAAGTTAACAATTTTACATATTGCCTTCACACTGCTGTAATCACAGGAAATAGATTTATTCTAATGAGTGACAATTTTATTCCAATACCACAAGTAACATAGGGAAATGCTTTAAAATCCATAAAACAGAATTAAAACATCAATGACGCTATTCCATTTAGCCATTATACCATTTTAATATTTTAACACAGAGAAATAGTTTTTTTCTTAAGTGCAAACAACTTCTAAATTGCTTTTATTTTTTAATAGTTCTACAAGGTTCCTTAAAATTTCTCTTTCGTTGTTAAATATATAGCAAGAGAGAAAACTGTTTAGTGGAAGGTCTGACAGTAAGTTCCTCCTTCATCACAGGGATCTATGCAGTTTCACAATACATGCACTCTGTTTTGCAGTACCTGAAGTGGACAGTTGAGTGCTGAAATGATGATAAATTTAAAAGAAACCTAGAGAGCACTAATTTTGTGTAATGCATGTACCAATAGTTTCCAGTCTTGATACAAATGCTCTAAGACCCTTCCCATGTTCAGTTTTCATTCCATGTACCTTGCTAGTCTGGTAATTTGTGGTATCAGCGAGTCTGTTCATAACCATATTGATTAAGTAATTCTTTTAAACCACAGAAAAAAGACTTACTCTACTAAAACATCAGCTTTGCTTTGGGTTCATGGCTACGTGAAACCATCACTGCTCCCTTCAGTAAATACAGAACTTGGATTTGTGAGATGACACAACATTTTTTTAAGCATGATCCCTCCATAATTTGTGATTTGCATTCTATTTGGTGGTTAACATTATAAAACATAAGATATTAATAATGTTATTTAAGGTACATGTAAAATTAATGAACTGATAGAATGATGTGATCTGCAAGGGCACAAAGCCCAACAACATTATGAACGGTAAGATCTGAACTTACTGCCATTCTAAGACATTTCTTGTTCAAATTTCTCTTTTACAGTTTGGGTGCATGTCTGGTTCTCAAATGGCTTTCTGACTATATCTTAACAGCAATAAGCATACTAGAGTAGCCAGCACTTCACAAAACGTTATGGATTTTTTTTTCTCATATGTACCCTGAAATTAGTACGTGTGGGGGTTCTATTATTCTTTTACTTTACAGAAATACTGGCATGGATCTTTTTAAACTGATGGGAAGATGTGAACAAGTCAAATTCCCAAATGTCTATAAACTGACTTTCACTTTGCCTTGGGTTTTGTTTTTAAGACATGCTCAATTTTCAGTCACAGTTCTGTTCAATACTCTTAGCATACTGAGAAAAGAGAAGACGTACTTTTCTTTAATCCTTCAATCTGAAATTCTTAATTATATTTGCTTAAATTGCTTTACAGAGTAATGTTTAGTGCAATACTCTCAAAATGTGAGTGGTGAAAGGGGTCAATAGCATGTTTCAAGTTTCTCTAAGTCAGAAAAA